ACTTAAACAACAATGAATGTCACTAGAAGATAAAGGAAAATAAATGACATAACAATTGATACGCGTTATCTTTTAACACCAATGCTTAGTGAACTTACCTAAATGTTCCCTCAAAAACTTCAAGTGTTTAAAAATCAGCCATTCATCCATATTAATAGCAAGACAATGGAAATTGTTACAGGATATAGTTGTGGAGCAAAATTTTCACTGCAGAGATCTATTTTGTACTCGTCAATGTCCACATGCACTGTGTGAAAAATGATGGATTGAGAAGCAAACAGGGAAAGTTTGTTAAATCCCACATAATCCATTATTAGTGTTTGGGGGTCATTGGTATTTTCAGAAATTTCCCTATTCATACATGTAGCATCCACTTTTCACAAACTAATGGCAAAATCAGAGCAGTTGTGAAAACTGATTCAGTCAACTTTATATGCATTTGATATTGGGGAAATTTGTGAGTATCCAAATAATGTAGAAGTAGTCCCGGCTTTTGTTTGATTCGATGTAGTTATTTTGGAGTGCTGAAAAGCAACAAAACTGACTATTTGGGTTATTAAGAATCATCAATTTTTGGATAACACTGTACACGACAGGGTGAAGTGATTTCCCTTGGGCCATAAAACAGATACACCACACAATAATAGTGTAACCCCAATTAGCTGCTGTTAGTCAAGACCTGAGGTCTAGTATGTGTAGATTCAAAACAATGTAGCATTCTAAAGGGTAAATACAAAATAAATTACAGCCTAAGTCAAAACAGAACACCAGACTAGACTAATACACCTCAATAGATTGTATTAAAAACAACCTACTGCAAACTGTTTCATGGTCTGTGGAAGGTTACTCTATTTCAATGTATCATAACTCCACAGTTTAAATGATTGTAGTATTTTAATGACTTGACTGTATTATGTCTAGGTTACTGGTTTTAACATACTTTGTTACAGAAGTTGTAAAACACTTGATCAATAAGTAGTAGTGTCTAAAACTGATCAAAACAACCCATAGTGGTTATAATGTGGGTTTCAGAGGATGTGATATCTCTTGGGCAGAGTGGTGAAAACTGTGAATGTTTCTTCTTCCAAATTTAGAAGCAACTCTTACTGTTAGCTTCCAATAACCAAAGAGTGCAGAGATCCCGTTATATTAATCTCTATCAATAGTATTGTTTGGACTTTAACTTGAACTTGAACTTTTAAGATTGTCACCTAAAAAAATTCACAAGCTGCCCGGCAAAACGCTGACCACTCACTTGTTTCCAATTTTTTTTCCAAAAATTTATAATACTAACAGGAACGGAGGAAAAAGAGTTTTGATCATTACAGTTTAGTATTTTTAGCTGTACTAAAGGAGCTTTAGTCTAATCCCATTGAGTTAAGGTAGGAGGCTCCCAATGACTACTCTGGTATGCTTGATCCTGGCTGATTTGGGGTAACGTGTGCACCACTACGCCAGCTTGGGTAATGACTAGGTTTTGCAATGTATGTGTGTTCGTGGCTAGAATAGGGTTTGCTGTGAAAGCTGGCTTCATTTCTTTGGCCGAGGAAAAGCTGAAACAATTTGAGCTCATGCTGCCTAGATTTTTCCATTTCTTCTTTCATGAACGATATCAGTTCTTTGGTGGGGTCATTTTCAATAATTTGAATATATCAG